AAAGAAAGAAAGAAATCTTCAGATATTTTGTTCCTGCTGTCCTTTGCAATGAATTTTACAGTGACATTGAATCTTAATTGGGCATCTGGTGGAAATGGCTTAACATGAAAATCAGTGTTAGTAGATCCTCCCTTCCTTCCATCTTCTGTTTTCTTCTTTGCTGTCAGCAGAACTAGGACGTGGGAACCCGAGTTTTGACCCAGAGTGTAAACATTCGTATACTGCAGAAAATTGCTGCTGGAAGGGCACAGATTTGCTCACCAGAGCACATATACCACCTCGAGTCACCCTTCCCTTCACCAAAAGAAATATAAAACAGGCAGTCTCAACATGCCACCAATTTGAATGTTACACACTCAGATCCAAACATTCCTCCGGCCTCTCACCATTTATGTCACTCTCACATGAACTAAGCTTAACCAGTAGGACAGGAAAGCCAAAAGCCAGAATTACCAGGTACAACTCTGCCAATTAATACTTTTGAAATGTCATGACTGTTAACAGCCCAATCTTACTCTCCATGCTCATCTGCTCAAGATATAAGCCCCACATAAGTCCTCCTAAATCTCTCTCTCAGAAGTTAACTTTCAGATAACATGAAAGTATTTCCAGAGGCTTCTGTATTCTCTGATTCTAGGTTCAACATGGAGATACTCATTAGAGGGGCCATAGTCATGATGGCAAGTTACAGATGAATTGCATTCTTCCTTTATAGTAATTATATAGCTTATCCTCAGAAAACAGATTGATCTGAAACTGATGCTGTAGGTGAGGTCAGCTTGCAGATGTTCCATGCTGATTTTTTGAGGCAGAAAAAAGTGCATCTGTATTATATGAGTTTAAAACTTACTTTGGGAGATAGTCTAATAAAGCCAATCTCAATGGGAAACATACGGCCCTGGGGCCCCTGGCCCATTTGAAGGGGGCTACAGACTGGAAACAGCTTTTCACATACCACCTTATGAAGTTTGTTATGCAACTTATGCAATCCTGACTCAGCCTATCTTTTTTTCATATTGTATTTATGGCCGTGGCCTAAAAAAGGTTGAGAATGGTTATCACATGTATTTGTAGTTTTTACTAAAATTTTAATTTTTTTTCAGCCTGTGTTGTTTTGTGCACTTCATGAAGTTTGTTCTGTACTTGCTCAATAAATATTGCCTGTCTAGTGAACTTTAGGAGAAATGGGTCACAGAGATTCAAGCAGTGATAACCGTTCACAACTTTGCTATGGTTTAAATGAATCCTGTACTATAAGCTATGGCACAATACCAGAATTATTAGTGAACATAAACCAATAGACTTATTAGTGAGCATTCATATTAGCATTTTTTAAATACAAGGATTTTAAAAGCTCTTTTTAATATTTTCTCTCAATTGAATGAGGAAGACATAAGAGATGAATGCATCTTTCTTTGATCATCAGGTAATATCAGTCACTTTCTAATGCCTTCTTGCAGATTTTCAACTGTTCAGCTTGCTAACTCTGCTGCAAGTTCTTCCAAGTGATTCTGATGCACAAAACACAAATGGTTCAGAGAAGAAAATTATTTGCTTTAGTGTTGGCTCTTGATACTAATTAACAAAATTAACATTTTTTAAAGACGCTCAGAGACCACTAAAAGAAGACCAGCAGGCATCTGCACCAAGGTAGTAATTAACCAATCAAATGATTTTGTGTGCACACAGTATCTCTGCTAGAAATAATGCATCCCAAAAAACCTACCAAAAACTGTTTTTATCTGATCATGCAGGTTGGACATGCATTTAGTCCGTCCAGGCTGTCCTGAATGCTCCCTGCAACTTTTGGTCCATAGTTTGTGAAGGGCAAAGTTCCTTGAACCTTGTGGCTTAGCAATTTGGATTTGATCCTTCCATCGGGTGCTTTCTCATTAATGCGGCAGAAAACATAAACTGTTCAACAGGTACAGACAAAGTCACCTTAGCATGGCAGACCAGAAGAGGCTTTGCTATCTGACAGTCATCATAAAGAGAAGAACTTGCATTATACATGGGAAATTATTTTAAAGCACGGTTAGATAATTTAATGCAGGATGAGGTTATAAATATCTGCTAGTATAAATGATGGTAACTTTATGCTACCTCCATAACCCAGAGACAGAT